CCAGGCTCCTCTTGCCTTCCTTGTAAAGAAGTTTTTCCCAATACCCAACCTGAACCTCCTCTGGCACAACATTAACCTATTCCCCCTTGTCCTATAAAAGGGCACGTGGGAGAATAGACCAGTGTCCACCTCTCTACAGAAGGATGAGGAATGGGATCCCTCAGGTGGATCCCATCCAGCCCTACTGACTTGTGTACATCTAAGTGCTGTAGCAGGTCTCCAACCATGTCCTCATGGATTATGAGGGCCATATTGTGCTCCCCATCCCTTCCACCAGATCAGGTGGATGGGTACTCAGAGAAAAACTGGTCTTGTTGCTAAAGACTGAGGCAAAGAAGGTATTAAGCACCTCAGCCTTTTCTTCATCTCTTGTCACTAAGTTTCCTCCTGTTTCCAGTAAAGGATGGAGATTCTCCTTAGTCCTCCTTTTTGTGTTTCTGTATTTATAAAAACATTTTCTGTTATCTTTAACAGCAGTAGTGAGAGTGAGCTCCTGATGAGCTTTGGCCTTTCTAATTTTGTCCCTACACAGCCTCATGACATCCTTATAGTCCTCCTGAGTGGCCTGCTCTCTTTTCCAAAGGTCCTAAACCCTCTTTTTCTTCCTAAGCTCTAGCCACAACTTTCTGTTCAGCCAGGCCAGTCTTCTTCCATACTGGCTGGACTTTGGGTACATGGGGATGGACAGTCTGCTCCTGAGCCTTGAAGATTTCCTTCTTGAGGAGTGCTCAGCCTTTCTGGACTCCTCTGCCCTTCAGAACTGCCTCCCAAGGCACTCTGCCAACCAGTGTCCTGAACAGCTCGAAGTCTGCTTGTAGAACACCTCATCTGTCTCCTCATCCTGGTTTGGCAGTCAATAAGATATCCCCACCATGATGCCTGCCTTGCTGGCCTTCCCGCTGACCCTAACCCATAGGTACTCAACATTATCATTCCCAGATTCGAGTTCTGTAACATCAAAACACTCCCTAATGTAGAGAACCAACACCACCACCCCTTCTGTTCTGTCTGTCTCTTCTGAAGAGCCCATAACCATTCATTGCAGCACTCCAGTCATGGGAGTGGCCCCACCATATTCCAGCGATGGCAACCAGGTCACAGCATGCCTTTTATTTTTTTAATTTTTTTGCTATTGAGCAATTGCTACAGTTATATTATATTGTTCATGCAATAATAAAATCTCTGTTTATGGCCCCGAGGAATTAGGCACTTCAAATGTCACTCAGATGTAATCACAGAATCACGAATTTCTAGGTTGGAAGAGACCTCAAGATCATCGAGTCCAACCTCTAACCTAACACGAACAGTCCCCACTAAACCATATCCCTAAGCTCTACATCTAAACGTCTTTTGAAGACTTCCAGGGATGGTGACTCCACCACCTCTCTGGGCAGCCTGTTCCAATGCCTCACAACCCTTTCAGTAAAGAAGCTCTTCCTAACATCTAACCTAAAACTCCCCTGGCGCAACTTTAGCCCGTTCCCCCTCGTTCTGTCACCAGGCACGTGGGAGAATAGACCAACCCCCACCTCTCTACAGCCTCCTTTAAGGTATCTGTAGAGAGCGATAAGGTCACCCCTGAGCCTCCTCTTCTCCAGGCTGAACAAGCCCAGCTCCCTCAGCCGTTCCTCGTAGGACTTGTTCTCCAGGCCCCTCACAAGCTTCGTCGCCCTTCTTTGGACCCGCTCAAGCACCTCGATGTCCTTCTTGTAGCGAGGGGCCCAAAACGGAGCACAGTACTCAAGGTGCGGCCTCACCAGAGCCGAGTACAGGGAGACGATCACCTCCCTAGCCCTGCTAGTCACACTGTTTCTGATACAAGCCAGGATGCCGTTGGCCTTCTTGGCCACCTGAGCACACTGCTGGCTCATATTCAGCCGACTGTCCACCATCAATCCCAGGTCCTTCTCTGCCTGGCAGCTCTCCAACCACTCATCTCCCAGCCTGTAGCTCTGCTTGGGGTTATTGCGCCCCAGGTGCAGGACCCGGCACTTGGCCTTGTTAAACTTCATGCAGTTGACCTCAGCCCATCGGTGCAGCCTATCCAGATCCTCCTGCAGAGCCTTCCTACCCTCGAGCAGATCGACACACGCACCTAGCTTGGTGTCATCTGCAAACTTACTGAGGGTGCACTCAATGCCCTTGTCCAGATCATTGATGAAGATGTTAAAGAGGACCGGCCCCAGCACCGAGCCGTGGGGGACTCCACTAGTGACTGGCCTCCAACTGGACTTGACTCCATTCACCACGACTCTTTGGGCCCAGCTATCCAGCCAGTTTCTAACCCAACGAAGCGTGCGCCAGTCCAAGCCAAGAGCAGCCAGTTTCTTGAGGAGAATGCTGTGGGAGATGGTGTCAAAAGACTTGCTGAAGTCAAGGTAGACCACATCCACAGCCTTTCCCTCGTCCACCCAGCACGTCACTTTGTCATAGAAGGAGATCAGGTTCGTCAAGCAGGATCTGCCTTCCATAAACCCATGCTGACTGGGCCTGATCGCCTGCTTGCCCTTCAAGTGCCGCATGATGACTCCCAAGAGGATCTGCTCCATGTCACTCTGGTATCTCCAATATCACATGGTGTCTGCCTCTGAACAGCTCCCTCTTGGTCTCTTTCTCCATTCAAAATGCTGAGAGCTGAGAGGAGCAGCTGACATGCTGCCTGCTTTGTACCCACCTGAACCAAGGCAAGAGTAATCCCAACTCCGGTGGGATTCTGTGAGGCACAGGGAGGCAGCTAAGCCCCCTTCTAGCCTCTGAACTGCAAACAAAATATGAGATGCCTAGTTTGACTCAGCTGAAACTACGGGGCAATAATGGACAGCAGAAATCGTGTGTACATGGCTGCAGCTTCCTGGGGCAGTGGCTTTCTCTATGCTGTGCTGCACACTGCCAATAGCTTTCCCTTCCCCCTTTGCCAAGGCAATGCCCTGGACCAGTTCTTCTGTGAAATTCCCCAGATCCTCAAGCTCTCCTGCTCAAATGCCTACCTCAGAGAAGTTGGGCTTCTTGTGCCTAGTATATGTTGAACCTTTGGGTGTTTTGTTTTCCTTGTGCTTTCTTACATGCAGATCTTCAGGGCCATGCTGAGGATCCCCTCACAGCAGGGCCGGCGCAAAGCTTTTTCCACATGCCTCCCTCACCTGGCTGTTGCCTCCCTGTTTCTCAGCACTGCCTTCTTTGCCTACCTGAAACCCCCCTTTATGTCCTCCTCCTCCCTTAATCTTTTGCTGGCAGTTCTGTACTCGGTGGTGACTCCAGCAGTTAACCCCCTCATCAACAGCATGAGGAATCAAGAGCTGAAGGAAGCCATGTGGAAAGTGATGAATGGAGGTTTTTCAGAAGGAATAAGCTGCCTGTGTTCTTAATTTTAACTGTATACAGACCCAGAAATCTTTCTATTTGTTTCTATTTTTTTTTCTTTTTTACTTTGCTTTATTTCTCATAGTGTTTCCCACAAAGAAATATCATTGTTCATACCTTCCTACACTGTATGTACCTGTCCCACGTGACTCCAAGTCTTTGTATAAATTGTGGATCAGGCTTTCTGTGTATTTTAATAAAAGGAAATACCATGCATTGACTCACATGCCTGATACCCGTCCTTGTAGACCTGTGGTGGAGCTTCAGGGGCACATGGCAGAGTGCAGAGGTGGAGGGAAGAAGGGTCCTGCCACAGCAGCATTGCCAGGCTGCACCTGTTATTGTTCCGTGTTCTTGGACAGCACCCACAGAGACAGTGAATTCTCCTGCCTCTGTACACAATAGGTGAGAGGGAAGATGGCAGGCAGGCTTCTTTCTGGAGGATAAGCGGGAGCTGCCAGGAGAGCCCAATCACTCGGCAGTGACAGTGTGTGCCCAGGAGTCAATAGCACGTGGATCCCATAGAGCACGGGCACATCCCAGGTGGAGCCACCCTGAGGTGCTGAATCTGGGTTTGAACAGGCAAAGGAGAGCTCTGCAGCTCCAGGGACACAGCAGGCATAGGGAAAGCTCTCTGCTGAGTTATTTGTTACACCTCTGGTGAAATTTCATGGATTTAATACAGTGAATCACCCCAAAACATATCCTGACATTGGAAGTGAGTTGGACTCGATGATCCTTGTGGGTCCCTTCCAGCTCGGGCTATTCCATGCGTCCCTGACTCTGAAGAAGTCCGGCTATCTGTGTCGGCTATCCATGGCCAAGGAACCACTTGTGTGGGAGGCAGTCAGTGCCAGTGCCCCCCACCGGATGGCTCTGCCTCCCCAGCCTGACCAACACGGCCCTGCAGAGTGCCCCCACGGCTCCACTCACCACAGCCCCCTTGCTCTACAGAGCAGCACCACCAGCTGGGGGGCTGTAGGCAGCATGGGCAGAGGCTGCAGGAATGGCTGCTCAGGCCATCGTCTGCAAACTTACTGAGGGTACACTCAATCCCCTCATCTAGGTCATTAATAAAGGTATTAAACAAGATAGGCCCCAGTACCAACCCCTGGGCGATGCCACTTGTAACGGGACGCCAACTAGAGTTAACTCCATTAACCACAACCCGCTTGGCATGACCCTCCAGACACTTCTTCACCCAGAGAAGACTATACACAGCCAGGACAGCTGACCCAACGGGATTAAATAGATGCTCCAATAGGTGTTCCAGCCCACCATCCCACTACCAAAAGCACCTCCCAGGCTGCAGCAGAGGAGCCTGCTGGGGAAGAGCTGGAAGGCTGTGGGGACCCACCAGCAGGAGCTGGTGCCAAGTCCTGCCCAAGGATCCAAGACATCTCCCTGTTCACCTCTTGAAACTTAGGTATCTCCGTGGGGGCCCAAGGCAGCAGAGGGTGGGCACTGCAAGGGAGTGTCTCTTGGAGCTTCCCAGAGATCCACTTTGTCTGGAAACTGCCTGTGGCTGGCAGGATGGAAATGTCTCTGTCAGTAGGAATAGTGTCCAGGGACCAGGGGCTCTGTCAGCCCCAAAGCCAGACCCCGATCCTGCTGGCTCTAAGATGAGCTCCTTCCAAACCGCTGAATATTTGAGCTCTTCTCCCCTCCATCCGCCTCAGGGAGACACCATGACACCTGGGCAGGGAAGCACTGGATCTGGGGCAAAGCGCCCAGAGGGTTTTAATATGAGGAAATACCAACACACAGCATAAAAACAGGGGAATACCAAGAGGGGAAATACCCATGTGTGTCTGCTGACTGCTGGAAAAGGGAGACCATTCCCTGATGCTCACAGCTCTCCCAGTGGCACTGAGCTCTCCTCCCTCCCGGCTGCACCCAGCTGCTCAGCAGGGCTGGGCTCTGCTGGCCTGGGGCTCTGGAACTCTTGTGCACGGGGCTCTGGTGTGACACCCTCGGTGTCCTTGTGGGGACATGCCAGAGACACCTCTTCAGCATCGTCATAGTCTGTGGTCCCCAGGAAAGGTGACGAGGTGTGTCCATCAGCCCCAGGGACCCCAGCACTTCTCCGGGAGTGCAGGCTTCCCCCTGTAAGCATCAAGGCAGGCTGCTGTGGTTGGGCCTGTGGGGTGCCCCTCGGGCTGTTTATCACCTTCCTCATCCTCACCAGCCTGAGACATTCAGCCCATTCTCCCAGCCCCCACAAAATATCCCAGGACAGGTTCTCCATGGATGGTCAGGCTTTCAATATGGCATGGATTCTCCTAGGCCTGGGGTTGGCACCTAGGAAGTGGCAGTGCTGCATTGCCCTCTCACCTGTGGCTGCATGCCTCAGCCCAGCTCCTTCCTCTGGTGTCCTGGGCACTTCCCAGTCCCCCTGCCCAGGGACCGGATCCTCCCCAGGGTCAGAAACCTCCCCAGCATCATCATAGCCATCTGCTGGGTAACCTCCGGGCAGGACAGGGACATCTGAAAGGAGAAGGAAGGTGGTGGCAATGAGAAGACATGTCCTGAAGAGCAGAGGATGGGAGGGTGTGTGGGGACACAGGGCTGACATGCAGCTGGTGTCAGGGTCACAGCAGAACCTTTATGCAACCAGCTCTGATGATAACACTCGGTGGCACTGCTGTCTGTCTGGTCTGTCTGCAGGGAGGAGAAATGGAGACCTTTCTTCTCTCCCCTCCCCGACCTCTTGGTGTGGCCCCAGATCAGCCTCCTCCTCATGTGCCTGGGGTAGGGCTGCAGCTGGGTCAGGGACCCCTCTGAAAAGGAGGCTGCAGAGAGCTGCAGTGGGTGCTGTGGGATGAGCCCTGCTGCCCTGACGGGTGGTCAGCACTGCTGGGGATGGGCACCCACAGAGCTGGGGGTGCATGGGGAGGAGACCAGTTCCTTGGAAAGAGACAGTTCTCAGAAGGACTCCAATAGCTGCCCTGGGAATGCCCTTCACTTAGTTCTTGGTTCAGGGAGAAGCAGAGAGGGGCTGTCCCCTCTGGGATGGGCAGAGCTGGTGTGGAGGAAGCTCCTCTGTGGGGCCCAACACCTGGATGCTATCCCACAGACCCCATGGTCCAACCATTTCAGGGACCATGGGCAGGAGCTGCAGGGCACAGCCCTGGTCTGAGACAGGGAGAATGGACACAGCAGATGTGCCCCCGCAGGTTACCTGCACCCACCTGAGAGACTGAACCTTGGCTGCTTCTCCCACGCCAGGCTGTAAGCGATCTCCTCATACACGGCCTCAGGGAAGGGCTCCCCAGCTCTCCCGGAGCCTGGGGACAGAGGCAGGTCTGGTCTGGGAATGGGCAGAGAGGAACAGGACCCCACTGGGCTCCCCCAGCCCCATTCCCTAGGCCAGCACAGGGCTGTCCCCACAGCACAGCCCCACTGTGTTGTGTTGGCACTGCAGCCACATCCCCAGGGAGGGCAGCATCCCCATGGAGATGGTCTGGGGCACAGTCAGCCTCACACCATCCCTTTGGAGACAGCCCTTGTGCCCCTTTGGTCCTTGGGTCACATCCCAGTGCAGACCATGCACCAATTCCCTCATTTCCCCTTCCCATGGAGTTGCTCCATCTCTGCCCCACACATCAATAGAACAGCCTGTGCCCTATTGTGGGGCGTCTGACACCACAGTGATGGACTCCGCTGCCCCATGCTCCTCCTGCCAGAGCTGCCAAGAGCACTGCCAGCAATGCATCCTCCCCTTCTCACCCAGCCCGGCTCTCACATTTCTCTTTTCACCCCAGAACTGATGCTTCAGGCTCTGGGCTCTCTCCACCCCTTGATGTTGGTGCCCCATGGTCTGTCAGTCAGTGGGGCAGCACATGGGGCAGGAGGCAGCACACAGCTCTGCCTGTACCCATCTCCAACACCCTCAGCACCCCCAGTCCTGTCAGGAGGCATCTCCCCCCAGGACCACTGGGGAAGGACCCACCTCTGTGCCGAGCCCTGGCACTTCGCACCTGCCCAGCCAGGAGGGCCAGGAGCAGGCAGAGGAGGGCCCCCAGGATGATGCAGATGACGACAGGCACCGAGAGTCTCTCACTGCTGGTGGTCGGACGGCCCCGTGGGGGATCTGCATGGGCAGGAACATGGCAGGGGCAGCATCAGACAAGGGAGAGGTTGGAGGCAGGACATGCCACTTCTTACCACACAAGGCAGCAGGGGTTGGGGTGGACAGGGGTGGGTGATGGGGCAGCTCCCACCCTGCTGGGTACATCACAGACTTCTCCCAGCTCCCTTGATTTCCTGGGAGTCTCACAGCCCAGCAAGGAGCCCCTTCCCCTGGCTGTGGGTCACAGCGTGAATATGGACAGACCCAGCCCCAGGGGAAGGACAACTTACCTGCTTGTGGGGGGGGAGTTGCTGTCCTAGGTGCGGCTGTAGGGGAGCAGAAGGAGAGCTGGGCTGAGAGGCTGGGGCTGTGGCACCAGGCAGCCTCTCTGGCAAATGACCCCAGCATGTGCCACCTGAATTTTCCCTCCTGTGGGGCTGGGCAGGGTGGCAGGGACAGGGCCCAGCACCACTGCTCTGGGCTGCTCACAGGACAGTGCAGGAAGCCCAGGGGATGTGCTGGCACATCCAGCCCCACAGAGGCTGCTCCCCACCCACCACCAGCCCCCCACTCTGCAGGGAAACCCTTGCTTGGGCAAAAACTGGGGCCATGCCATGATGCAGCAAGACATACACCCAAGCCAGCTCCTTGCCAAGCCCCCAGCCATGTCTCCCAGCCTCACTGCTCACCTGAGCAATGCACAGCCGCATCTGCCTTATGCTGGCAGGCACCGCTGTCCCCTGGCTGGGCCCAGCAGTCCTGCAGAGACAGCTCCGTCCCTCTGCACTCCATCAGCCACATGGGGCCCGTCCCCTCTCCAGCAGCAGCCTGGCCCAGGGCATAGAGCGCGGGGCCACAGCCCAGCTGCCTGCACGCCACCTCGGCGTCCCGCATGTCCCAGGCATTGTCACACAGCGTCCCCCAGGTGCCGCGGTGCCAGATCTCCACTCTGCCCGAGCAGCCGTCCTTGCCTCCCACGGTGCGGATCTTCTCCCTGTCTGGGGAGGCAGAGACCTCCCATGGTACCGGGACAGCTGGGACAGCCCTGCCAGGTTTAGGAGGGCACGTGCAGGGGCAGCTCCCTACCTGTGCAGCTGGTGGAGTTGGGGCATGCAGCCACCTGTGGCCTTTCTGTCCATGTCCCAAAAGAAAGAGAAGTTGGGCTGAAAAGGGATGCTCTAGGAGTTGTGCAGAAGACAGCAGAGCTGACCTCTGCTCACACGTCCCCATGCTGCCTGGGTCAGGGCAGCAGCAGAACCCTGTTCACTCAGGGGACACACACGGCACTGCAGGGGGTACCCAAGTGCTTGGCCCCACAGGGTCCCTGGTTCATAGAGCAGCAGGAGGCTGTCCCAGGAGGGGGGACTCCTGAAAGCCCTGCATTGTCTCCTCTGAGACCTTGCCTGGAGTTGCCTCTGCATCCCCCAAAGAGCTGCTGGCAGCTGCTTGTGAACATGGGTTGCTCTGTGAGCTGAAGTCACCTTTGTACCACCAGCAGCAACAGGGTCTAATGCAGAAAGTTGGAACCTCGGGGTTCCTTCTCTGCATTTCACCATGCCCAGTGGGGAACAGGACCTGGTGCCTTGATGGCTCAGATTTACCATTGCAGGTGATGTGGGTCTCTTCTCGGAGGTCATCACATGACTGCGGATTCCAGGGATCAGAGGGACACTGCCAGAAGGAGCTGTTGCTCTTCCCACACTCCACGTGATCCAGCCATGCAGTGCCAGACAGCTTGGCATAATTTAAGAATATTTCCCTGTCCCCTTCATTCCCGCAGCCCAGCTCCTTACACACCAGTGACACCGTCTCGGTGGTCATGGAGTTGGAGCAAACGCTGCCCCACGTCCCGTTGTAGAAAACCTGCAGGCGCCCGGAGCAGCCGTCGCTGTTCTCCAGCCTCAGGGCCATGAACTCTGGAAGGAGGAAAGGCCCCAGGGACATCCTTGGATGTCAGCCACTGAGGGCCTTAGCCCTACCTTGCTCTATCCTCACCCCAGCCTCACTGGCCCCAGCTCCCAGCCCCAATCCCAGCACAGACCTGAACAGATGACTCCCGCGTCCTCCTTGTGCCCGCAGTCGTGCTGCCCCCAGGCCTCGGTAGGGCAGTCCCAGAGAGCAGCTTCGGTCCCGGAGCAGTTGACGCCATCCAGCCAGATCTGCCCAGAGCCCTCCCCAAACCGAGCAGAGCTGGCTGCCTCCAGGGCCCCTCCGCAGCCCAGCTGGCGGCAAACGACGGCGGCGTCGGCCAGGTCCCAGGCATCATCGCAGACGGTGCCCCAGCGCCCCTGGTAGTAGATCTCCACTCTCCCGGCACAGCGCCCGGCCCCTTCCGCCAGCCGGACTCGCTGGCTCCCTGCAGTGGGGAGAACCCCAGCCATCAGGGGCTGGCTGCCCTCCCAGCCCCACAGATGGGGGACATGCAGCACCACTCACCCCGGCACACGGCCCCCACGTCCTCCATGATCCCTGCTGCCGGTGTGCTCTCAGGCAGGGAGGTGTTGCAGAGACTCAGGTCAGCCTCGTGCCCTGCACACCGCACCCCACGCAGCCCCACAGGTCCTCGCCCTCGCTTGGCCCTCATGGGGGTGAAGGCTGCCTCTGCCTCTCCGCACTGCAGCTGCCGGCACACCACGCTGGCCTCCTGCATGTCCCACTGCTCATCCAGGACTCTGCCCCACGTCCCGTGCTGGAAGACCTCCAGGCGCCCATCGCACTGGCTCTCTCCACCCACCAACCGTACAGACATGGGGCGAGCCGGGCCTGGTGAGAGCAGAAACTCAGCCTGGTGCTGCCGTGGGGTGCAAAGCTGTGGGTGGCCGTGTCACACACCAGGGGCAAATGGACTTTGCAGCACTGCCCAGCACTCACCTGAGCAAATGACAGAAGCAGCATTCCCCTGGGAGCACGACGAGGCCCCCAGGGTAGTCACTGGGCACTGCCCCAGGTGGGCTTCAGTCCCGTCACAGTGGAACGAGTCTCTCCAGACGGGGCCGGTTCCTCTCCCAAAATGCCCTCCTCCAGGAATGGACTCAGCAAAGCCACAGCCGAGGTGCCGACAGAGAACGTGGGCGTCCGAGAGGTCCCAGCGGGAGGCACAGAGGGTTCCCCACGTCCCCAGCACCTCCACCTCCACCCTGCCCTCACACGCTGTGCTGCCGTTCACCAGCCTGTGCCCCGTGTACTCTGGGGACAGAGGGTGAGAGAGGCCACATTTGTGCTCTTGTTCCCACAGGAGCTGCAGGAGAGGCCAAAGGGACAGCGTGCCTTTCTCCTCCTGCAGCACTCTCATTTTAGGGCTGCAGACCACCATCTCACCCCACCTGTCCGCCACCCACCACAGCCCAGTGCCCACCCTACTCTCCTTCCCCCACCACAACCCCGGTGGCCATCATCCCACCCCAAGTCCTTACGCGTGCAGGTGACATGAATGCCATTGCTTTGGGTACAGTCCTTGTCCTTGGGAGTCTCCGTGGGGCAGAAGGAGAGGACGGATTCATTCCCCACACACTGCAGCTCTCTGTCCCAGACAGGACCGGCCCCTTCTCCCAGCTGAGCTGCCCCATGGACAGACAGGGCTGTGCCACACTGCAGCTCCCTGCACACCACCTCGGCAGCTTTGGCATCAAAGTGGGAGTGACAGACAGCTTTCCACTGGTCCCTGTCGTAGACCTCCAGAATTCCTGAGCAGGGGCTGTCCCCTCCGACCAGCCGGACAAATCCTGGAGCAACCAAGGAGACCTGTGAGTTCCCAGAGCCCTCTGGCACTTCTGTACACACCTCCCACCTCATCCCTAAGGCAGCCACATGCAGAGCCCCATGGCCAGCCCAGCAGCTCTCAGGGCGTGCTGATGGCACTAAGGGGTTAGGGCCCCTCTGCTGCTCCTCAGAATTCAGCCCAGCCCCTGGGCTGCCTGCACTGAAACATGCACAGCACGTGGGCCCAGGGAAATGGGCTCAGGCACTGGGGGCTGCTGCAGTCTGCTCTGCCCTGCCAGGCTAAGGCCAGTTAAAAGAAATCCTTGGAGCTGTCAGAAAAGCCCCCTGTTCCCAGGGGCTGCTGGTGCTCTTGGGGAACTGCTGTTAAATCGGGCACATCTGGGGAGCAGACAAAGGGGGTCCTCAGTGTGGTGCCAGGAATGTCAGTCCTCAGCCACCAGCTGGGAAGAGAGCAGGAGAGCAGGCAGAGAGCAGCCCTGGCTTGACACAAGCTCCCTGTATGAGGGTATGCACCAAGGAGAGCCAGGAGATGCTGGCACAGCCCCTGGTGCACAGGGCAGGCAGGAGAGGCTCAGCAGTGGTTCAATACTGCCTGGAGGGGCCGTGTCTCCAGGGTATGGCTTTCGTTGGGTGACCCTGGGACAGGAACAAGGTGTCACTTGCCACTCTGCTCCTCTGCTCAAGCTCAGTGTTCCTGCCCTCTGAGCAGCCTTTCTGCTTTGGCTGACGTTCTCTTGTCTGCTGGGGGTACAACCCAAATGTCCTGGGCCATTGCACGCGCTTCCCTGAGGCTGCTGGTGGCTGGGGTGCTGCTCTGGATTCCCCTGGCATAGGGACCAGCCTGCCAGACAGGGCCTGGGTGAATGGAGGAGAAAGATGGGAACCAGGCAGCACAGTGGGGAAGTGTAGTATCTTTCCTCTCTCAGCACCAGGAACACATCCAGGGTTGGCTGCTCCAGCTCTAGGGGAAGGATGGGTTTGATCACCTGGGCTTCGCTCCCACTGGGCTTTTCCCAGGGACATGGGACAACTGCAGTGACAGACTAAGCTCAGCAGTGACCCGCCCCTTGAGCTGTTATTGATTTCCCCTGTCCCAGTCCCAAAATGTGGTGTATAGGCTTAACTCTTACCTGAACATATCACTCCAGCATCCAAACTGTGAGAACAGTAGGTTTCACCGTGTCCTATAGCAGTGCAGTCAGATAGGGCAGACTCGTTGCCAGAACAGAAAACACTTGCCAGCCAAATGCGGCCAAATCCTGCCCCAAAGTGTCCATTATGGGGAGCTCCAAGAGCAACCCCGCAGCCCAGCTCCCTGCAAACCACTTCAGCATCATCCTTGTCCCATGAATTGCTACACACGGTCCCCCACTCGTCATGAAGTTTCACCTCCACTCTCCCAGCACAGCGACTGCCACCATCCGCCAGCCTCACCTCCGAAGCCCCTTCAAACACCAACACAGGAAGGGTCAGGAGAGCTTCGAGCCCCACACTGTGGGTCTTTTGCTCAGGCAGAATCACAGGCCCCAGAGTGGGAGCCCTGTCCCCACGGTGGTGGTATGGTCCTTCCTCTCCCCATGGGCTGTACTGGGTTGGAGGTGCCCAGCACCGGTGCTCCAGGGCTATTTGCTGCCCCAGAACCCTCATAACCCCCTCTTCCTACCCCAGTGGCAATCTGTCCCTGTCCATAATTTCTGCCTCTCATTTCAGTGGTGCCTGCAAAGCAACCCCACTCTCAGAGGCATCCAAAAGACCCCGCTGGTGCCTGCTGGCTCCAGGCTGTGGAACAAGGGAGCTGGCACTTACCTTTGCATGGATGCACCCAGAGGAACAGCCACAGCACCCAAGGGGGCAGGAGTCCCTCTGTCCCCATCCTGAGGCTCCTGTCCTGACAGCACGGACCTGCTGCTGGAGCTCGTGGGGACCCACGGGGCAATGGCAATGATGGGAGGGCAATATATCTGTGCAGATGCTGTCCCAGCTGCAGGAGGAGCCAATCGAAGCAGCAGGCACCTTTTTAGACGTTATCGGCACTTATCTCCCCTCCGACGCAGCCCAGCTCTCCAATGAACTTCTCCAGCGCTCTTCATGACCATATATGAGGGACGGCTCCGCTGCGGGTCTCACGTCACTGCGGTGGGAGATGATCGTGGGGTAGGGCTGGGTGTGGGGGCAGATGGCTCTGACACCCCTTGCAGCCTGCTGTGGGAGCATGGAGCATCTCCTGAGCTGTAGCATCCAAGAGCCCAAGGTGCAATTGTCCGGCCGTCCCTGCGCCATGGGATCCTCAGGTCTGGTCCTGCAGCAGGGCTGTGTCAGGCTGGGAAGGGACCAGCCCCTGCCCCTGCTACAGCCCCTGCTGTGCTGGCAGCAGCAGCTGGGAAAGGCCCTTGGGCAGGGCCAGAGCCCCATGATGGGGGTGCTGGCTGTCCCGTCCCTCCCCAGGGAGCCTCCTGTGGGGTCCCGGCAGCAGCCAGAGCTGGTCCAGGGTCTGCCCTGGCAGCAGAGCTGCAGCCCAGAGCCTCAGGCGTCTCCCTGGCTCTCAGCGTGTCACCCAGGGGCCGTTATTCCCCGCGGCGGGTCGGGAGCTGGAGCCTGCCTGCCACTGCAGGTGCACAAACCGCAGCCCACGTGACATGGCGCCCGGGCAGGAAGACGGTGGTTTCCTCCTGGCCCCGTGCCCAGGCATGGCCCTGCGGTGCCTCCCAGCCTCCTCACAGCTCCAAGCCTGGCAGAGTCCAAGAAGTGTTGGACAATGCTCTCAGACATATAGTTTATTATATATATATATATATATATAAATATAAATACACACATATATATATACATTTTATATTTTTAATAGAACACACATTTTTATGAATATATACAATATATATATATTACTTATACATTATTATATTATATTTTTATATATTTCATTAGATTAAATATTATTCTTATATATTGAATGTATTATTATATAGTTCATATTATATAATATATAATTACTGATATTATATTATAGATTATATTATATTTTTATTTGATATATATTTATATTACATAAAGTATTCCAGTATATTATACAGTATTATGTTATATTATGCAGTATATTATATTAATTATTTATTTTATTTTATTTTATTTTATTTTATTTTATTTTATTTTATTTTATTTTATTTTATTTTTCATTACATTAATTTTACATGTATTATACATACATAAAAGTTTATTTTTCATAAATATATACATTATATATTTTAATATTTTTAATATATATTTACCGTTTGTATAGTTTTTTAGATACATATATATTCTATTTTGTTGTCTGGTGGCTGGAGTTGGACTCACTGATCCTTGATTCTTTCCAACTCAGGCTATCTCATGATTCTGCCCAACACAGCTCCAGGTGATGCCATAGCATATTCACCTGCCATGGGCCTTCTCCTGGCCTGCACCTGCTCCTGCCCTGTCGGCTACTCAGCCAAGAGTGGCATCACAAGTACATTCCCCAGGCATGGGTCTCCTTCCTGCCTGTCATCTTCTCAGGCACCGGTGCCCTCACAAGCTCTTATGAGAGCTGTGGGCCTGCTGCTGGTCTGTCAGCTCCACAGGCACCACTGACCTGAGCACCACATAGACACCTGTTTGGTTTCTGTTCCCAATGAAGTAGTGTGATGCACCAGTAGACAGGTGCCTGGGGTTTCTGTTGGATTTCAGGAGAAATCAAGCATGGGGTGCTATCGCTGACATGACATCATAAGCTCCCAAAGACCCACACAAGCCATATGCTTATTCCTGGCCTACTGGCTTCTCAGGCACCAGGGTCCTCCCAGCATCTAGCACACGCTGTGTTTGCTCTCGGCCTGTCAGCTACCCAGGCACCACTGGCATCGCAGGAACATTCACCTGCCATGGGCCTGCTCGTGGCCTATCAGATCTTCAGCTGACAGTGACCTCATAAGCACAGATGATCTATTGGAAGATGTCAGTGTCCCTGTCCATGATGGGCGGTGGCTGCTCATGTTCAGCTGGCTGTTGACCAACATCCCCAGGTGCTTTTCTTCTGGACAGCTTTCCAGCCACTCTTCCCCAAGCCTATGCTACTGCATGGGGTTGTTATGATCCAAGTGCAGAAGCATTGTTGAATGTCATGTGATTGGACTCAGTCCATCAATCTAGCCTTTCCACATCCCTCTGCAAAGCTTTCCTACCCTCAAGCAGACCAACTGTCCCACCTAACTTCTTGTCATCTGCAAATTACTGAGGGTGTACCTGATCCTCTCATTTGGGTCGTAGATCTAAATATTAAATAAAACTAGAATCAATCCCAAGCCCTGGGGAATGTCACTGATGACTAAACTGGACATCTGGACAACTGACACCAACTGGACTGAACTCCCTTCACTCCCTCTCTCTTTGAGCATGGCCATTTAGAAAGTTCTTCAACCAGCAAACTGTACACTTGTCCAAGCCATGAGCAGCCAGATGGGTTGTCATTCTGCAGGGCTACTTCTGGTGAGGCTGAGTGCATACTAAGATGTAGCTCCTTCTTTTATGCTTTTTCTAATGCCCTGTTCTCAGTCCTTTCAAATCAACTAAGCATGAATCTGGTGCTTGTGATGAGCTGGTGCTCAGGTCGTATTCCAGTTACTTGCTATATCATGTATCATTGTCGTTGAGTTTGTACAGCACTGGCATTCTCACACTCCCTTTTATCTCTGTTTGCTTGAGTCTGTGTTGTGGTTCTGCTCGAGTGGGCAGCCGAGCTCCACCACAGCCGCTCTCTCACTCCCCCTCCTCAAAGAGGAATGGGGAGAAAATATGTGAAAAGGGCTCAAGGATTGAGATAAGGACGAGAAAATCACGCAATAATTAGTGTAATGGGCAAACCAGACTCAGCATAAGAAGACAGATAGTAAGATTTATTGCTCATTACTAACAAGCTAAAGAAGTGAGAAACAAAGGAAAGAAACCAAAAGCACCTCCCCCCCCATCCACCCTCTTCCACCTCCTCCCCCCGAGCGGCGCAGGGGAACGGGGGAATGGGGGTTATGGTCAGTCTACAGCACTTCTTCTCTGCCGCTCCTTCTCGGTCACTCTCGTCCCCTGTGCTGTGGGGTCCCACCCACGGGATGCAGTCCTTAACGAACTGATCCGGAGTGGGCTTCCCACAGGCAGCAGCTCTTCAAGAACTGCTCCAGATATGGGTCCGTAGCACGGGGTTCATCCCTCAGGAGAAAACTGCTCCAACCTGGCTCCCCTACGGGCAGCAGCTCCTGCCAGATCACCTGCTCCTGCGTGGTCTCCTCTCCACGGGCTACAGGTCCGGCCCGGAATCTGCTCCGGCAGGGGTCTTCCACAGGCGGCAGCCTCCATCGGTGCAGGGCCACCTGCTCCACCGTGGTCTCCTCCACGGGCTGCAGCGTGGAACCCTGCTCCACCGTGGTACTCCATGGGCTGCAGGGGGACATCCTGCTTCACCATGGTCCTTACCACAGGCCGCAGGGGACTTCTGCTCCGGCGCCTGGAGCACCTCTCCCCCTCCTTCTACACTGACCTTGGCACCTGCAAGGCTGTTTCTCACTCCCTTGACTCTCCCGGCTGCTGTGTGGCGCAGCGTTTTTTTCCCTGTCTTAAATATGCTCTCACAGAGGCGCAAAACAACATCGCTTATTGGCTCAGATCTGGAAAACAATGGGGCCCTTCCCAAACATGGGGCAGTTTCTAGATCTTTCTCACAGAAACCACCCCTATGGCCCCCTGCTACCAAAACCTTGCCATGTAAACCCACTACGGTCTGCGGTGTCAATGGTAGTTCAGGAAGACTGGGAGGGGAGTGGCTTCAGGGGAAGCACGAGGTTGCTTCTGTCACAGTGGGACTTTGGTCTGCCTGCACAGTTCAGTGGCTCAAGCTGTGACACAGCCAGGAGTTCCACACTTCAAGGGAATCACAAAGGAAGTTCCTTCCTGAAGGGCGATGCCTTCCTGAGTCCTGTCCTTGCCTGTGCAACATCTATCAAAGGGTCGATACAAGTTAGTCCTCAGAAGAAAGGCCCCATCACAAGGGGCTGCCTAGAGCTGGGCTCCTCTCCACAGTTCTGACCTGGAGTCTTCTCCTGCAGGGCCTCTCCCTGGACTGCATCCTCCTTCAGGCCACATCCAAATGCTCCCACATGGGGTCTTCCATCAGTTGCCATGTGGAGATCTGCTCCAACATGGTGCACCATGGGCTGCAGGGGAACTTCTGCTCTACCACCTGGAGCACTTCCACACCCTATTTCTTCATTGACCCTGGTGTCTGCAGGGTTGTTTCTCTCAGCTTAATGAGGCCAAACTGCTTCAGTTAAGTGACTAAACCAAAAGAATGCAGGATATGGGGATTAGGTGTTCAGGTTAGGGTTTAGGGATTAGATCTTGCCTTCCAGGGTTAGTGGTTGGGCAGCGTGTTAGAGGGAGGCCTGTTTACTTCTTTGGATTCTAGTCTGTGTCTAGTGTAGAGACTATGTTATGTTACGTTGGGATTTTCTGCAGGGCTCTGTTGAGGAATCATGTTAAGGCTGGAATTCAATGACAGGGATGAAAGGCTGAGGAATAGCATGAGAACTGAGCTAAGAGTGTATGGTAAGGCCTTATGGATCCTTATGGATTTGGGACTTGGCTAA